AAATATTTTATTTGAGGCAGCAGTGAAGAGGTTAATTTACAGCTGCATTTATGAACGAGCTTTATTTGTATTTGACCTGCAGTAAAATATTTATATTTCAATTCATAAACTATGTTTTCCCAAGTGGCAAGAAGTGAAATGTTAATCACTTACTATTCTAAAATAGACTGAAATACAAAAGTTTTTGTTTAAGTAAAGTTTGAAATTAAAAAATAGGGCAGTGAGTTACAAATCGGATTTATTCTTTGTAACTACCAGTAGGAATAGTAAAAGAGGAGTTTGGGAGGAGAGAGAGAAGAGAAGAGTAGAGGAGAAGAGAGACAGAGATTGAGATGGATTTTGAGATTGGCCAAGCATCATATCACCGATTTTTTACATTCTGGAATAATAGTATTTCTAGTATTTCGAGGGTCTGAAGAACCACACCAGTCCGTTTTCCCTTACTTTAAAGATCTAAATGGTATTTTTTTTTTTTTAAGTCTTCCTGGGTACACTAGGAAATTTATTTAAAACCACGCCATTGGGTACGAACTAAGAGCATTCTTCAAACAAACATGACCTTTTCTGTTTCTTGTATTGCTCTTCTCAACCCAGCCAAAAAATCCCAGACAAGTTTATTTACACACACACACACCCGCACAGCACACACACCCCACACGCAGAGTGTCGGAAACGCCCTCTTTCCAACCCTTCCAAACAATTATCTCCGAGAGCAAAAGAAAATAATCAACAGCCCTGTGTGCTGGGCTAAGCCGGAGAGCCGGGCGCGAGGAGGGAGGGCGATCCGCAGGCGAGCAGGGAAAACGTGGCTCCTCTGCCGAGGAGAGGGTTTGTGAAAAGGAGCGCTGGCCCGCGTGCGCCTCTTGTTCCCCGTGTAATTTGCAGCCAATCATCAGTAGGTGTCCACGTCCCTGCGTCCTCCTCACCTCGGCGCCAATCACCCCCACCCCCGCGCCCCCGCCCCCAGCCTCCACACCTCCTCCCTCGCCTTTCTCTCTCGCTCCCCTCCCCCAGCAACCGCACACTCGCACACACACAAACAGAGAGAGAAGGGGGGAGGGTGAGAGAGAGGGAGAGAGAGAGAGAGAGAGAGAGAGGAGAGAGAGAGAGGAGAGACTCCCCGGCTCCCTCCCTCCCTCGCACACAGCGACTGGAGACGGACGGAGAGCAACGCGCTGGGAGAGGAGAGACCACCGACAACAGCCCCGCGCTCTCACACATACACTCACACTCGACTCTTTCCTCTCCCCCCACCTCCTCCTCCTTCCACCCCCACCACTAACACCATCTCCTCCTCCTTCTCTCTGCAACAAGAAAAAAAAAGCCATTTACAGGTATTTTTTTTGATCCGCATATTTATTTATCCCCCCTCCCCAACAGTTTGTTTACAAGTATTAAAGTTGTAATTGGGAGCTGCCAAGACACATCTGGATTTGTGTTTCTTTGTGTTAGGGGGTGATGTGCAACTAATTAAAGGCAGACTGGCAGCGTCTGCAAATTCTAAGGCTCCCCAAATAAAAAGAGACTGGTAAGTGATTGTTCTTTCTCTTTCTCTGGCTTTTTTTTCTCTTAAATGTTTGCTGTCCGTTGGGATTGTGAAAGTAGATTATTAATGCTGGACTCCAGCAAGAAAAAGCGTCGCTGTATTAATTTATTAATTAATCTGCACCCGCCCCTCCTCCTGAATGTTAAATATGACCTTTGATCTCTATGTCTCTGGTAGACCAGACATACAATATTAGGCATGTACAGTCACATTGTTTAAAGGCAAAACAGGATCATGAAGTATGCATCTCTAATTTAGCTTTGGCATAGAACTATAGTTATTTGTGTGTGTTTTATTTTGTTTTTTAATAAAATCCAAACAATAGCTGTGGCTTAGATACCTTTTTCATGCTCCAGAGATGCATTGATTAAACAATAATGACCTGGATACTGGGCATAATCATTTTCTCCAGTTTCTGGTGGTATTAAACCTTGAGGTAGGAAAGGGGGTGGTGATGGCAATCAGAAAAGCAAGGAAAGCTTGTGTTTGGAAACACCACTCTAAGACTCTAAAAAAGGGATATTAAATTATTTCTTTATTTGGAACAAGGTCAAAAGACTAAAACGTTGAAAATTTTCCCTCCACTCAATGTGATGATATCTAATGCATGGTTGACATAACTAGTTTTTACTGAGTAGCAGTTATTATGGTCTTGCAGTTACAATGTGATTCGCAGAAACTGAAGCTATATGCATATTCTTGCTGTGTCTTCCCCCACCCCTTCCAAGCATCAAGAATATTTAGCCAAGAGCATTTTGGGGGCACCTTTTGTATTGCCCCCAGACCTCAGAAGGGAGCAGTTTTCCCTAATGCGAAACCACAGAGGTGGTTCCTGAGTGATTAGGGACTTGCTGTGATTGAAAGACGCCTGCAAGCTTCTAATCCAGCCTGGGGTGAGGTTCCTTATCTTGATTTACTTTGCCTAATAGGGATTTGTTTACATAAACCCCTCTTTTTAGAGCACCTCATCAGTAGGTCTTGAAGTTTTTGCACTTGGAGTTTGGGCAAAACTGGTTCATTAACCTAATTATAAGCATAATTACTATAATTGATAACCATTTTGAACTCTGAATATTTGAGACTGAGACTATTGGGCCCCCATGTAGAATTCCCTGAACTCTACATTCTAGACCAATCTATGGGCTTCAAAAGATGTCACAAAAAGATATTCTGGCCAAAAAATCTGGAAACAAAGAAACTGGTTTTTTAGGTGAATATACACTTTATGCTTTTGCTTTACTTCTTAAAAGGTTGTGATGTACTTCTCCCTCTGTAATAAACAACTAAAATACCTCTTCCTAAAGCATAATAATGGCCTGTAAGCAAGGAGATGAATGCAAACACCCAGTTAACATTAAACTTTCCTCTTAAAAAGAGCACAATTTAAAAATAATTTTAATGGTTATTTTTCTCTGGCAAAGAACACCTTAAGGGCTCCCCCCCCCCCTTTTACTCAATGCAAAAATCAGTGATTGTGAGAGATCCTTTTCAAAAAGTGCCATGCTTTCTTCTTGTCTTGGGAAGAGACAGCAATCTCTATTAGGAATGATTAGGAATATTCTTAAAGAGGCTGCAGGCACTTGGTTTAAAACCTGAGACATTGCTGATACAAATATGTATCTATGTAATTATGTGGCTTATCTTTATTTTCTACCTTAAAAAAAAAAAATCAAGTAGAACATCACCCTCTTACCCCCACCAAGCCCCACCACCAAATGGCTTGTACAATTGAGACCTGTCCTTGGTCCATTGAATTAAGACCCTAACAGAGCCAGCTGTGCTGGGATTCAAACTAATGACCGCAGACACAGAAGGACACCGTGGCAGCTGGTAGTTCTTTTTTCCCTGCCTCTTTAGTTCAGATTGTATGTGGGCAGTCTCTTAGCTCTCAGTTGTATTGTGTTTGCTTACAGTTTATACTCGGATGTATTGTAGACTTTCTCAGTACTTCATTTGCTAATTTCCTGTTCATTTTCCTCATAGGGCCATTGCTGTTTTCTACTTTACAGCATTTGCATGCCCAGGCAGCACTTGTTCACACATTTCATAATGTTTAAATGCCCTCTGCTTCTAGGTAGTATCGCCCTCCCACCCATGATTTGCATGTCTTTAGCACTCCAATTGCCCTTTTCCTTAGGCGTTTGTCACCCCCGTCTTCCCTCTTTCCCTGGGTATCCTGGCTATTAATACATTTTCTCAGGAGGGTTATAAGAATAGGGGGGAGGAGCTGTGGTTTGCTGTGGGGAGGGAGGGAGGGGGGTTGGGAGCGTTGGGGGGATGGGCTGGGGGGGGGGTCACATCTTGGTGATTCTTATGCAAAGGACCTGATGGAAGAATGTGGGAGCTTTTGCTGTCTGCGGTGGGTTAGTGAGGGAGGTTGTTTATTTATTTTTAATCTTTTTCCTCGTGCAGCTCGTTGGAATGACTTTCTTTATTTTAGTTGTAACAGTTGGAGGATAATGCAAAGGAAGACGCTGCCTGGGAATTCACCGTCTGTGGAAATGAGCCCCAGAGAGGAATAAAGCAGCCCTCACCTTGCTCTCCCCACCCGAACCCACTTTCCCCTCCCGCCTCGGCCCCCACCCCAACACCACCATCACTCCCTTCCCTCCCCCCCACCTTTCCCCCTTTTCCACCCAGGTGTCGGACCAGGCGGTCCCCACTTCCACCCTGCACCCCTTCTTCCCCCCCTGCACCATGAACACCAATGTCTGCGTGGAGCCCGGGCCGAGCCCGGAGGCCCCGGGCTTGCCCAAGGAAAGCCACTTGCCCGAAGGGGCTCTGAACAGCCTTGTGGATTACAACTCGGAAATGGAGCGCTACCGCTCCTTTGCCACCTCCTTCTACAAGACCAACGGGGGCGCCTTCCCACAGGCGGCCAAGATCGCGCGCATCACCACCCCCATCTTCCCCAGCAGCGCCGCCGCCGCCGCGGCCGCCGCGCGCATCGGCATGTCCCCCTGGAACTGCGACAACGCGGCCACCGCCGCCGCCGCCACCGCCATGCTCTGGGGCAGCGGCGGGGGTGGGGGCGGCGGCGGGGGTGGCGGCGGGGGTGGCGGCGGCGGCGGCGGGGGCGGGGGCGGGGGCGGGGGCGGTGGGGGCGGCAGGAAATCCTCCTCCGCCGCCGCCTCCTCCTCCGCCTCCTCCTCCTCGGCGATCCTCCCCGCCGGCGGTGGTGGCGGCGGCGGCGGCGGCGGCGGCGGCAGCAGGACCAGCATGCACCACCGAAACGACTCCCAGAGGCTGGGGAAAGCTGGCTGCCCGCCAGAGCCGTCGTTGCAAATGGCAAATACTAATTTCCTCTCCACCTTATCCCCTGAACACTGCAGACCTTTGGCGGGGGAATGCATGAACAAGCTCAAATGCGGCGCTGCTGAAGCAGAGATAATGAATCTCCCCGAGCGCGTGGGGACTTTTTCCGCTATCCCGGCTTTAGGGGGCATCTCATTACCTCCAGGGGTCATCGTCATGACAGCCCTTCACTCCCCCGCAGCAGCCTCAGCAGCCGTCACAGACAGTGCGTTTCAAATTGCCAATCTGGCAGACTGCCCGCAGAATCATTCCTCCTCCTCCTCGTCCTCCTCAGGGGGAGCTGGCGGAGCCAACCCAGCCAAGAAGAAGAGGAAAAGGTGTGGGGTCTGCGTGCCCTGCAAGAGGCTCATCAACTGTGGCGTTTGCAGCAGTTGCAGGAATCGCAAAACGGGACACCAGATCTGCAAATTTAGAAAATGTGAAGAGCTAAAGAAAAAACCTGGCACTTCACTAGAGGTCAGAGGAGATGATTTCTTGTTTCCCAGTCTCCCCCCTTCCCTCCTCACTCCCTCTCCCCTTCAGGGATTCTTGTCTGGCTTCAAGATGCAGTACCCCTTCTCAGAAGCTTCATTCAGGTGGTAAGAGTTGTAGGTGGTTTGCGAAAGGCTTGGCCTCTCCACCACCCGCCCCAGCTGCACTTCACGTGACACCGCCCTTCTGATAGAGAGAGTGCCCTCCTTTTTATCCCTGGGGGGGAAATAATGTAATTGGTTTGAAGAATCAGAAGTTTCACATTCAGTATGCTCAATGTTTTCCCTTGGTGGTTTAAAATGCCTCCTGCTCCTTATTAAAAAGGGTGGGGCATCTTTGACCAAAGGACTGGACATATCACATCCTATGCAAGTTTACAGGCTAAGTTAGTGGCCCAGTTATAACAGTGAGGACACAGTTTGTGGCACACAAGCCTGTTCTCATTGAAAAAACAATAACAAACCACACAACGGTATTCATTGAAGCTGAAACACCTGGATTCAGAAGGGGATTTCCTACCCCCTTCTAGAATCGTTTTTCTACTCATCAAGGCAGAATGTTTGTTTCCTATTTCATTTTCTGCATATCTGATATTTTTGGAGAAAGTTGAAACTGTGTAGAAAGCGGATTTCCACCTGCAAATTTTAAGGAGATGTGACATAGAATAAAGGGATGCAATTAGTTAATTTCAGGGCAGATGAGAGTGATTTTGTTTAAAAAGTTCTTTTATATAGTTTCAGAATGAATAATTTCTAAAACTCAGTTACAAAAAAAGTATTTCCCTTGGGCTCTGCATTGGACAAAGTAACCATTTTGTGGTTACAAAGTTGGTCTATACACCAAGCACGGTTTTGGTTGATACCTTATATGGTCAATAATAGTTTCTTTTACCTATAGGTCTTTAAAACAGATATTGTACAGATGCTCACTAAAGTAATTGTTAAATTAGGCTATGAATTATGCTACATACAGAGATTGATACGTTGGATACAAATTTTGTATTGTGTCCTGATCAAAACAAAAAAGGGGAAAAATGAAAAATCACAGGTAAATGACTTTGATGGTATATTAAGCAAAGAAATGTGGACAAGTAGTTATAGTCTCTTGATAAAATTTACAGGGTAGATAATTAGATGTTCATATATATATGAGACTGTAGGTGGTGGATTTAGCATTCTGTGCTTTAACATTTTAACATTCTGTGGGGTGAATTGCAGGATGAGAGTGGCTCTCACAAGGTATCTTAGGGGTATCTGTAAATTATTTTAAAAATTGTGAGTACTGCTTAAAGGAGTTTTCTTTATGAACTGGGAAGCAGTCTTTAAAATAATGAAGAGAAGAGTTAAAGATCTTTGGTACAGATTTGAACACAAAGAAGATACAGGGTTTTTTAAAAAAACTTTAATGGTGTAAATCAAACTAGATAGCACTCTAGGATTCTAAAAATATCAGAATTATGTTGATGCTCACTATTGGGTATGATCAGTTTCATCAAAATATTGCATTTGCATTTATTTTTCTTTATAAGATGCATCAGCTCTTTTTGGAAAGTTTAACTTTACTCCTGGATGGTTTATTGTATTTTCTTTGGCAACTTTCTTTGTGCAAAGAGAATAGCAACTATAATTCAGGTCCATGTATTTTCTTAGGTGGCAAAAAATAGCTTTTGAATCTTCCTTTCTGGATTAATTTATTGTAACTTCTAAGGACTACGGGAAATTAAAATTCAGTTAATACTGAAATACTCTATTCCCAAATGATAAGGACAACATGGCTTTTATTTTTCCTCCTGAAATGTAGTATCTAGAATTATAAGTTTGGTTCTGCTGTTAGGCCTCATCTTTAGCTAGACTCGTGGCACTACTTGCATCCCAATTTAGGATATGTAGTAACTGAGTAATTCTGAGTTATTTAGTAAATAATGACCCTGGAGGAGTTTGATATGAGTACCAGTAGGTTTTCTGCACAAATTTCTATGCTGGTGTAATTTTTTTTATGTGATGGTTTTCCTACAAGCTTGATGTGATATTTAAATTCTTCAGGCATTTTGAGGACAAAATCCCACAAAATTCCATTTTCTTCTTTTTAAAAATTACCACGCACAAAAATTCTGTTAATCTTCACGAGGTGAGGTATGGATGGAAGAGGAAGCTGGTTTTTTCCTTTGAACTCTCAAGGTGATCTTCTAACTTCAGACCCCTTCTATCAGAGCCTGGGTCGTGTTTCAAGGCTAAGATTATTAGCGAAATACTATTTGGCGAAAATAAATAAAAACTTTAAAAAATTGTGTAAGATTCAATCTAGATCATTAAAAAAGACAATGCCATCATGACTGCCTTAAACTGCAAATACAGTTATGGTTGTAGGAAACCAGCTGAGCACACGTCAGAGTGACAGGGCTTCCATGACTGAACTAAAGCTGGAAGAGGAATTGCAGGGAGGTGAAAATCCCCTTGCTGACCTGGTTTCTCTCTTAAATTTGGTTCATCCTCATCTGAGAAAATGTTTTAGAGATTGGATGGGTTCCTGGCTGAGGGCAGTGACTTGGGGACTCATTGTGGATATTACCTGTGGGTTCCAGATGTAAACTCCATAGCTAATATTTGTTGGCTTTGAATTATGGATGCCATTAACATCTGGATCATAATAATAACATATATTCTTATTTATCACTTCAAGCCTCATGTGCCACTCTTCCCATTGACTTGTTCTCATCCCAAAGACTGGAGATAGTCATTTTTTTTTTTTTTCAGGGTGAGAAAACTGAAATTAAGACAGACTCGCATGGATATGTTGGGACTCTCATCCAGATTTTTTTCAAAGCCTCCTCTCTAGTGTTCCTTTTAAAACTGCCTTCTATTTTTCTGCTTAGTCTCACCTTAAGAGCATCTTATGATGCCCTAGTAATGTGTTTATAAAATCACCCCTTGATCACATTTGATATGATAATGCACACAAAACATTTAGTTCTTCTGTTATACTGTGCACCATGTATTTGCATAACCACTGTTCAGTAAGTCAATTACTCTGTTAAAAAATAGCCACTAATTGTTCAAAGCAGTCCTTACAAATGCTGTCTGCCCCTTGTGTGACAAAAACTGTTTTAAAAATTTGTATCCTAAATGAAAAATATTAAGTTCCTAGATGTTTTAATAAACGTGATCATATAGGAGATCCTTATAAGTTACATGATAATACTTTGTCTCTTGCAAAGATAATCCTTCAGTTTTTATATTTGCAACAGTTACATTTCTGCTACTTCTAACTTTTCCCAATCTGATATGGCTCAAGAGATAAAATTGTCCCATGGGCAACCCCAGCCTCTTAGTCTCTGAACATTGTTCAGGTGACATGATTGATCTCTGTGGGACAGCGTTAGAGACCACACAGATCTGGTTTCTCTCCCATTAGTTGATTTATGGAATTACATTAGTAAGCAGTGCCTCAGGAGGTTTCCCTGCCTCCAATCTTGGTTCTCTTTGCGGTAAGTTTCACACTGCCACCGCTGAGGCTTTCCTCCAGCTGGTGAAGAAACTAGAGAGGGCAGGTTGTAGTGAAGACATTGAGAAACTGGAAAGTCAGGAAGAAGGATGGTGCCATTCTTTTTTTCTTTACTTTCTTTTATCTCTTAAAAATCTATCTGCCGAATGTACAGGCCAGCCGTAATTTTTCTACAAGTTAGGTTAAGCTTCTAAGGGGGTTGGTGGAAAAAAATTCAAATACTGTCTCAAACTTGATAACTTACTTCAGAAGAGTGTAATAGGGGAGGAGGGACATGTTGTATATGCTGTTAAGTTCTAAGAGCCCCAACCATAAATGGCAATTGTAAAACTCTGGACAAAGCACCGTCTGTAATGGGTGCAGGAAGGTGGCACCTGCCTCCTGAGGAAATTAACTTGTAGACCAGATGTAAAATAGGTGTGTCACTCAGACTAAGAGCTTTTAGTCAATAATTGAACATATACATTTCTGAGGTTTGTTGACTTAAAAAAATCTATGGATAAAATGCAAATGTTTTGTGTCTTAAATGGAAACTTCCACCAATTTTTCTTTTATGTCATAATTTGTTTTAAAAATGAGTCCTCAATTTTTCATCTCAAGATTAAGAAAATTACCAGTAGAAAAATATTTTTATTTTAGCCAAAAAATGCAAATATATAATTAAGTATGAAAGGGAAAGAGGAATTTTTTCAATAAAATTCAAACAAAATGATAGTATATTAACATTAGAATGTAACATATAAATAATATAGGAAAAAGCACCTCAATTTTGTAAATAATAAGAAAAAGCTTGGAAAATTTTGTCTTTGACTAAAGCTACAAATGAATTTGTGGCCAAGGCATCAAACCGCAATACAAGTTCAATGAGATTATTTTTCCATCACTGGATTTAATACAAGGGAGTTAAAGTTGTTTTTTATATACTTCCAAATATCATGTTGTACACACAGTAAATACGTGTAATTTTAACTGTCAGTTTAAAAACTTACAAAGCGTACATTTTTAATACTTCCTTATTGAAAACAGTACCCTCACCCATCCAACCATCATGTAAATTCTAAGCCATGTTTTAGATGGCAATTAGGAATAGTAAAATAAAGCAATTAAAATTAATTTGTAAATTATGCCATAAGAATGTTTGAAATTCAACCATCATCAAACAAAATATAAACAAGCAAACACAAGGCACATAAGAGCAAATTAAAAAAAAAAACAAAAAAACTTTAGGTTTCCATTTAATCCGAGAAAAATATTTGGATATTTTAAGAATGAAAAGTGTTTCTAGTGATAAAAGAAATACAAGTTGTCTGGCT